GGTGAGGGGGGGGGGGGGGGGCTTGGGAAGACGTGCCGCTTGTAGGCGTTGCGTATTTCTTGCGTCGTAGCCTTTTCTGTGACTTCTAGAATCGCATCTTGGATGGCCGTTAGACGGGGCTGTGTGAGTGGCGTTGGTGGTTATAGACGTTACAGTAATTTGGCGGCGGTCCCCTACACATTGTTGTCTACTAGTATGATGCTTGAGGGATTCGTTTCGAATTGTTGCCAGATAAATCAAGTTCAGTGTAATCAGTGTATTGTGAGAGATGGGTGAACGTGGTTCACTATTGGCATGTGCCTGGAGGTCGCCAACGTCATCGTGGCGGATCCTGGATTGCCCCACGTTAGTTAGGCGTTGAGCTTGACCATGATCAGTCACTTGACGTCGTTGAACGCTCTTTGCTAGCAGCCCAGGACCTATCTAGGTAGGTAGGGAGGTAGGTAGTTGCTGCATCTAGATCTGAAATACACAACTTTTTTTTAAGAAAAAAATCCATGGCTCTCCAACGTCCAATAAGATGGCTCAAGTACACTCGGCTTCCCCTTGACTGAGATACTGTTCTGCTCTTGATATCGCGTCATCCACAATCTGGCTCGCAGCGCCACCTCTTCCCGTCCTCTGGTAGTACCCAGCAAGCACCCACATGTCTCGTATCACCCGCAGGTCGGAGCCCGTTCCGTGGGCAGCCTCTCTCTTCTCGACTGCATATCTGAGATTCTCTTCCGCCCGGACCCAATCTTGTTCATGTTCCTGCAGCCTGGCCAGCATCTTGCGGGCATATGCATGGAACCTGGCATCGGACCGGCTTGCTTCTCTGTTCAATGATGTTTGGTTTAGCAAATTGACCGCGAGTTCTTCTGCTTTTTGTCTATCGCCGAGATCCATCTGAGTGTACTCCAACATGAGCGCCATGATTCGCAATCTATCCAACTTGGACACTCGGGGGTCAACGTCGGCGAGTTGGTGTAGGCCTGCCAGCGCCGCCACCATTGTCTCTCTCCTCTTTGCCAGCTCACAGTCCCTGCGAAGACTTGTTCTGCCATCCCATATCAGTTGCTCGTAGAGCCAGAGATGTGTTGGCGCCGGAGAGCCAATGTGGTCGCTGAGAATGTCCACATTTTGCAGCCAGGCTGACCGCAAGAGATGGCATACCCGCTCCCTTCCCAACCGGGTCTGATAGTCGCACTTTGTGAGCTCCTGGAGGATTTTCACCAGAGGGTGCTCTTGTGGAAGACGCCTTGTTGAAAGCTCTCTGGCATGTGTGAGAAACATGCCCAGAAGTTGAATATGACCCCTGTCTACCATGTCGTAAACCGTATCCAGTATATGCCATACAAGGTCTGGATGATCTGCCGTGAGGACAAACTCGAGACTGTAGAATGCCCGTCTCGCCGCCATGCCGGCCAGCTGGCCTTTTCCGTGATGCCACAGGTCAAATACCAGCTCAAATGTACGATACATGGTCCGGCTATCCTGAATGGGGGGCTGGTTCGGATTCGCAAGATACCGCACCATGGGATCCGGTGCAACACCTCTGGATTCCAGTTTACATAAGCTCCAGGAGCGGACACTGTCGAGGACCAACTCGAGACCTGCATAAGGGCCAAGCTTGGTGGTACGTGCGATGGTCGTGCAAGCCGGCTGCTGCAGCATGCGATCTGGCGTTTGACGTAGCACCTCGGCACCCGATTTGCTCGAGCCGGCATTGTCTGACGCTGATGCCGCAGTGGAGGCCACGGCATTTTCTGAGGTTGTGCGGTACGCTCTTTTGCGCAAGTTCCACTTCTTCAACCGCTTTTTATACATTTGTTCTCTTGATTTGAGTTAGCGGCGAGCCGTGTAGTACGTAACCCAAGACTTTTTGTTACTCACGTCGCCGCAAACCCATACTTGGACGTCATGATGGTCATGGTATCAACCAGCCTTCGGTTTTCACCAATGTAGAGATGCTCAATGACCCCCCGCTGGGCTTCCCATTCTCGTTCTGTGTGCTCTTTGGGATTGACTTTACCTGCGGCTAGTGGCACCTCTCCAAATGGCCTGGGGGCCAGCTTGGGTAGTTGTGATGACATGGTGGCCGACGGTGCGATGGGATCTGGATGATGGGGACCGTAGCCAGGCCACCCAGCATCAGAACGAGCTGCGCCACTTGAGATGCAGACCTCGAGCCAGTTTCGAAGACTTCAAAATTCATGGTAGCCTGGTTGGGGTGAGCCAACAAGTTCATGTGTGGTTGACAAAGGCGATGCCTACTTCTGTCGTGAAGGCTAGTGCTGCCCGAGCACATCGATATTGGACCTTCATGTTGCCTGCAGCCACGGAACCATTCTGGCCAATAGCGGGTCTAGAATCTGAAATGTGCGCGGGCCGAGGCCGGCGACTGTGTTATGCCAGGCTCTGCATTTAGTTTTTCTTGTACGACGCCCACAAATCAAAATCACTTGCCGGGTTGCACTATTTCATAAAGGTGAAACATCAGATTCTAGACAAGGTGAAATCTACTCCCTCTACTCTGTAGCATGTTTCAAAGAACAATCAAGACGAGTGCGAGCCGTCTTCCACAACACCTACCCTGTACGGGTGGACCCGCTGACTCAGCAACCCTTCACGCAACCCAGCCCATAAAATTTCGTCGCACCGCAGACCATGGCCTTTCTTCTTTTTCTCTTTTCTTCTTCGTGCGGCAGGCATGATATGAAATTCTACCCCGTGTTGCTCGAGTCCTCTACCATGGATAAATCGCAGCGTCAATCATGCCCAAGATAAATTATAATTGCAGGCCGGCTTCTTTGCTATTGGTGCAGGTGCTTCTACCACTTGGATCGCAACATGGAGGCTGGACATACTTTCCCCCGAGTCTTGATCGGTGACAAGAGAGGCCAGGAGATTGCGGTCCTGGGAACGCGTCGCCTACGTAAAAGCAACCCCATGGACTGGATATAGGTCAGGATGTGGGATGCTTATTGAATTGCCTCGCTTTTTTTTTTCTATCCGTGACCGTAACTCCGCCTTGTAACAATGCGCTCCTTGGCTGCCCACGTTGGCGTTGCTTGGCTTATCTCATCCTGTAATATCCTCAATTGAAACCTCGCAATGGGTGTGCGTGCGTGCGTACACTGGAGGGTGCTTTTTATTCATCATCTCCTACTTTCTGGAGCTTGCCCATCTCGCGTTTGGTACCGGCTTCGCCAATGAGCTTAATCCGGTCGATTCGTACGGCGTCGGCGCCTTCCTCGCCCTTTTGCACATACAGAATCAGCGTGGTTGTCTTTTGGAACTTGACAAAGCGCAAGCTGATGTTAGCAGTGCCTTCGGCGTTCCAATCCTTGGAAGTCAGCGTAATAGCCTGAGTCGGCTCAGTATCGTCGGCTTCACTAAAGTCCATGTGTTGCGGCCGGTTGATGTATAGGTGAATAATCACGGGTCTCGAGACGGTATCTTGGTCCTTGGGAGGAAGAGACGTAATCTGCGTGCTCCCGTTAGTTTGACTGCCGGGAAGCTGTGGCAAACGTCTTGGCCCACCTGCAATGTGTGAAGTTTGACGGAACCTTGGAAAGGAATGAAGAGAAGAAGCTGGTCATCCGCGCCGCTCTGAACAAAGTCCTTGACGTTGACAGAATTGCTGTCGTTGCTCAAAGCGCTGGGCTTCGCGACGTCGAACAGCACCTTGACCGGTCCCGCATCTTCGTCGGCATTCGACAGCTCGCAATTGCGTGTCTCTACTTGGTCGGAAATATCACTATATCCCCTCGGAATCTCTGCGCCGGCCCATGGACCACTGCTGCCGGTCCCGGTACCAGACGATTCGCCGGCAGACTCAAGCTCAGAAGCTAGTTTCTGGATGATGCGTCTCAGCTCGGTGGGATTTGCACCTTTGACCGACTGGATCACCTTTCCCTCCTGGAACAATAAGAAGGTCGGCAGCGCGGTAATCTGATATTCCTCAGAAAGAGCCTTGACTTTTTCGGTATCGATTTTGACGAATGTAAGGAGTTGAGGCCGGGAAAGCGATTTTGACAATGCCTCATATACTGGCGCGATTTGTTGACAAGGACCGCACCAGACGGCGAAGACTACGAAGGAAACAGAGTCAGCATGGGGAAGCCCAAGCAGGCAACGGGCTTGCAATGTCTATCCGCTCTGAAGAATTGCTCGCAATCACCAAGTAACACCCATCTTTGGTGGCGGGGTCGAGCCGAGGTGACAGCCTAGGCAATGAATGAATCTCGATAGACCAGTTACTCACAGTCGGCGACGACGAGTTTTGAGCTCTTTAGAATGCCATCGAACTGCTCCTTGGAGGATATTTGCACCGGCGCTTGCGACATTGTTCTTGGGCCCAACAATGCAGAAGATGTTGCTGTGTCTGTGTCTGTGTTGTCGAGTGTGGAGAATGCTGGGACGGTGAAGGATGTCGTGAAAGTCGTCAGGGGTTCAATTTTGCAGTTGCGAGCTGGAACATGATGTCTGGTCTGATTGAATTTAGGCAACCAGGACGCACGCCCCCGATGCTGAGACGCCCTGCCGAGGTGTATTAGGTAAAGTACCTAGTAGGTGAGCGAGGGGCAACGAGTGACTTGATCAAATCTGTCGCTGGGGCCGACGCTGGACCAATTGATGTCTGCCAGCAGTTGACATGAATTGACATGATGACTTGGTGCTTCCAGCTGGCATCCACCAGACCCCGCTACTAGTTGCCGAGTACTTAAGTAGTATAAGTACCTTGAGACCATCAGTTACATGGTGGCGTCTAGTCTTGGACGTCGAGAGCTCTCTTGCACAAGATAAAGTAGCCATCCCCATCCCCATCCCCATAGTCATCCGTGAGAGAGGTAATCCGGAAAGTGTAATTATTCTATCAAATGCCTGTGGTGTAGTCTAACTGTGACACGATTTTTTATTCCTCCCATCTCTGTCAAAAACTAATTAGCCCTAGGAACATTAAGTGTGGCAGCAAATTTCAGCGACTTGAAGACTGGCAGCGATACTAACGTTGCATATACCTTGTACCTTTCTTTTACTGTTTGGTGCACGACTTCGATGGCGACATAATTAATTCGAGAGAAAGCACATGCGAATATTTACACATGTTCACCACCATTGCGTCCGGAGCGGCGCCCTATTGTATCACCCACGCAAACGTCGGACAATGCACACACCCATGGCGGCAAACACTCACGCAAGCGTTTGGATTGCTGCCTTCACTCTTCTCTCACTTTTTGTTCAATATGAGCCTGGAGAAGGAAGCCAAGAGAGGGGAAAAGAGAGAGCCCCCGGACATTTTGGCTGGGAACCAAAGACTTTCCCCCCCTTTATACACTCTTGACTCATCCTATTCTTCTTCCTAATTACTTCTGAAGTCATCAATATCATACACGCAGGCCCTTTTCCACATCTTGTTCCAATCCGTCACCATACACAACCAACACAGCTCCTGCCAGGCCGGGCAACGTTCAAGGGACCCAGGGCGCTCAACATGCCTTCGTAATCATTTATGCTCCTAATTTCACTCATCGGGCCTACCTTGTCTCCCCCCCGGCCGTTCCAGAGACTCGAGACAATGACTCGCGCCCCATTAGACGGGAGGCCAAGACAGCTAGAAAGGCCACCTTTACGGGCACATCACCAAAGCAGAAACAAGACAAACACATCGTATATGGATCATCTACGTCCTGCTTCCCCTCCGAAAACAAATCCCTGGGTGAAAAGGCCATCTGCTGCTTCACTTGCGCCAGAGTGGCCAGTCTGCACACCGGATTTTAGCCAGGAAAATGAGGTACCGGCGCAAGAAAAGGCAACATCTCGAAGCGTGAAATTTATTTGTTCTGCCGATACCAAGGATCCGGATGCTGTCTCGCCATCAAAGAAGCTTCTCCAAGCGGCGGCGCCTCGGGCTTGTGCCAGGTTTGCATGGGGCTGGATCGCCGCTAATCATGGAATACGCCTACTGACAAAAGATTCTGATAGGTTGTGGCTACGGCCATTTGGCGCCGACGTCTTTGTCTGGGCTGGTCGCGAGGTTTTTGAAGTGCACCGTAGCATCGTGGAGTCGCAGTCGGTATGGCTGAGACAAAACCTCCCACCCGCAACGAAGGTAGGATGAAACATTGGGATACTATACAGACAATTTACGGGCTATCATGGACTGACTGACGGACAATAATTAGAAGGGGACCCCGAGCGACGTGCGCTTGCCTTTTTGCCCTCAGGTCGTGGGATACGCGTTGCGATTCATGTACACGGAAAGTACGTCTTGTTTTCCCCCGTGGCTCAATGCAAAATGCTGATTCAAGACTGTATCCAGGCCTTGAAATATTAGAATACGACCGGGAAAACTTTTGTGATCTGATTTGTATCCCACGTAGCGCATTGCTGTACGTTGGCGCCGTGGATCTTGGGGTCGAGGCGATGAAAGATCATATTGAAAAGGTCCTTGGACAGATGTCTCAAGACCTGGCGTGTTACCTGACCAAGACATCTGTGATCAAGAAGATGGAACATGAGGAGGTTGCTGCGGCGGTTTTTCACCTTAGAAACGCATTAGAAGTTGCATATTCACACGAATCGCAAGCAGAAACTCTATGCCTCCGGCGCGGTCTGGCCAGTCTACTGGATATTTTATTTCCCGTTCTCATCCCACACCCGGAATTTGTCAACTTGCTTTCAGACAAGGTTTGGAAAGACCACTCGGAAGCTATATCGCACGATCTTGTCTATGCGCGACGAGCGAAGGAGCGCTAGGGCAGCACCTTGGAAACGGGTGTAGGTTGCTTCATAAAACTGAACTGATATTGCCAGTGGTTGGGTGTGGTCTGGGAGAATGATAGTACACACTGCACAGCACTTTCGGCTACATGCTACGTGAGATACTACTCCTCCAAATCACGATTCTGCAAACGATACGGTGTCTTTCTAGTCATCCAGCGGTACCTGGTCGAAGTCAATGGACGTGCTTCTGCATTGGTATTCGACGGAGAGACAACCACCAGGCATCGAGCGCAACAGAGCATGATGACGGTCTTGTTATTGCACGAGAAGCTGCCATCATGTAGCGACTGGGGTGGAGAAGAAAGACGGCAGTTTTGTCACGCATTTGATGTCGGGCTCTTCGGAAGGTGATGTTTACTATCTAGAGTCTTCAAAGTTTAGGTGCCGCAAAGTCAGGGACGCATCCTCCTCTGCCACATGAGGTGATACGGAGGTTTTTCCCTAAGCTACAGTCTGGTAAAATATATATTTGCCCGTCAAGAAGTATACGCTTGTATGTTACAATATAATATAGCTTAGAGCACGATAGCTAGGAACCTGATCTAGCCAGACACTTTTGACCTGTCCTTGCCCAGCAGGTGAATTATGTCAAGGATACTGCCGCGGACGTGATTCAGCCCGCGCTCATTATAGCCTTTATGGCGTGGCACATGTGCAGTATCTTGATGAGATCAACACTCCTAAATACCCTCCCTATAAGGGCCAATGCTTCTAGTTAGGGGAGAATGGAGCTGCTTTTATCTAGCGCACAAAGAGTTGATGACAGTCTTTTCAGAGAAGGGAAACTTGATGTGGTCAGCCCGGGCTTCCGAAAATTACGCTGGTGAGTTGAAGGGGCCGCCGATTCCAAGGAGCGGCCCTACTACGCAATACGTCCTGTCGGAAGCCTTCAATGTTGGCAATGCCTATAATCTTGGGAAAGCGTATAGCTGACATTTATACCTATATCTTTTACTTGCGTAACTTGTTACTTAACATGGATCCTGGAGTTTCACAGGCATGGGATAACACGGTGGCGGAATACCTACCTCCTTGGCATTCCTGGAGAAGAGGAGGAGCAGATTCTTGGCAGCACTATTCCAAGCGAAGTGCGAACATCGGCGCCCGAGGAATGGGCGCAGTTGAAATTATCAGGCATATCACATTTATTTATTGCAATTTGACAGACGGGAGGGCATGGCGGCACGAGATTTTACAAACGACGAACTAGATGCCGAATACAATCAAAATGCATCAGAAGCATCGCGCGAATGGCTCACCGAGTCCATGGTCCAGTCATTAGAGTGGACTCTATTTGACTTGTATAAAATGATTCAACAAGAAGTCGCTCGACAAGAACAAGTGGTCCAATATTCGACAAAAGAGGACGACGCTGCCCATGACATGTCCAACTTGCAGATCTTTCAGGACATCAAGGTGGAACCAGAGCATAACACGACATCGACGTAACAAGAGGAACCAGACTACTTAAAAGATGGCGAACTATAAGCTACGGGCTTGGCTTCGAATGACTAATTCCTACTTTAGGAAGAGAGCAAATAAAGCAGTGACGGCTGACTGGACAGATTCGGGAATGGGGTGAATGCGTGACACCCATCGTGAACAGTGCTACTGATGCGACACTGTTTGGTGCCTCCCGTTTGGAGTTAAACTTCTTTTCGACTGCCATCTGGAACTTTATATCCGTTATCATCTTCTCCATTTTCTCAATTCTCCCTATATGCGCCCTGATGTGGTCTGCAACTTCCGCGATAGTTGCTCCATGCTTGGTGACAGATCGCGCCACGTGTGAATTACTCGGCGGGCTTACTCTTTTCTAGATGCGCTTATCCTTTTATTATTCACTATATTAAAACTATTCTTATATCTATTTAAGTACTGTGTTATCAGATTTTACGCTTGCACGATACTCGTATCATGCCTGTAATTTCACTTGGCCAATAAGCGAAACAATTCATACCTTAATATATATTGAAGTAATTTATAATAAAATATCTTTGATTGTAATAAAGTATATATTGGTATATTGTTTGTCCGAGACGCGGCTCAACGATTTCGACCCATGTAGGGTAGTCCAGGCCCTATGCAGCTCCAAGCCAGATCCCTGACGATGCATGGTTAGATTAGCTCAGATTTTCATACATACATACATGCCTTTTTTTTTTCGTCCCGAGAAACAAGATAGATATTTTCGTTTTGTACTTGTATATTTTGGCCTGTCTGGTTAGCTTGATACCAACTCCAGGAATTGTTGTTCCTGTGCAGTGCTGTAATGGCCTATTACGCCTCTGAGGGCAATTCGCGTCGGCCACGGGTTCGCTTCTACCAAGACGACCGAGAGACTTATGCCGTGTGTTGAACCCTTAGTCTGTGGTTGACAATTGGCTGATATTTCTTACCTACAGTCTGCTCGCCCCCGGAGATATGTATACAGTGCCCCAACGTCGTCAAGACGTCGTGGCCAATACTCTGGCGATGAATATGTCCCAGAAAGAGTGCCCGCATCTACCGTGCCGCCATGGACGCATCTCGAGCGCCGCATGCCGTCACACCACGAGGAGCATTCGCAGCAGACGGTTTTTGGCCTTCCCGCTTCCTCTGGGAGGCGGGTGAGACATCGTGATGCCGAGACAGCAGAGGTTCCACAGCCGCCGGGAATGTCGAGATTCTCGCAGTCTCCCCCACGAATGGACAGCAGGGAAGAAGATGACACCTATTCGTGGCAACGAACTACTAGAAGAGATGCGGACCAGGCTTCTGACCGAAGCCATTCTCCATCGAGGGTGCCATACTATGATGCCAATGATGGCCCCCGAGTCCACGCCTACAAGTCTGGAGACGCACAAGTCTACATTGTTGACGAGGGACAGGCTGACAGAGGCTTTCGTCCACCGAGCCCCATGGGCGGAGATTTGGACGCATATGACGAGTTCAATTTCCTGTTTTCCAAGTCGGCTTCCAAGGATGAAGAACTGTCAGATCTGGAATCGCCAGCGGTGGACTCTGACTCTGCACATAGAGAGAGTCGCGATATTTCGGTAGTATCAAATGCCAAGAGAATTTATTCTTCACATTACACCGGCAGTGCGGAAACTGGAGGCGTCCATGCAGCCAAATTGACCGAGCTATTCGACACAAAAGGAAAGAAAAGGTCACTGTTCAAGTGGCTGTGAGTAGTAACCAACAAGCCTAGCAAAGAGGTTCAGAACTAGAACTGTTACTGACAGCATGGTAGCCATATCCACCAAGAAGTCATGAGCTTTGACGATTTTTGGGTAGTTAAAACGTGGATGCTCCCTATGCGTAATTTACCTTCTGTCTGACCGTCATGCAGGCCGAAATCTCGCGTCAAATTCATTTCCCAGAGCTCGAAAGAAGTGCCATGGCAAAGCTCAGAGCAGATGTGAAGAAGCACTGTATCAAGACACGACAGAACCCCAAAGGGGCAAGGGTTGGGTATATGGAACCTCGCTATCTTGAGGTCCCTCTAAAGTCCTTCACGAAGCAGCTTTCAGGACAAGAGAAGCCAACAGGCTCTGCGAGATGGATCTGCCTCCCGTATTTCTCACTGCAAAAGTACTCGGGCTTGCTTGCAGGCTCATCTACGTCTGTGTTTCCCTCCCAGACGCTGCTGCAGGCACAGTACTCCCGCACAACAGAACAGAGAGACATGCTACAAGCTGTTTGTCAAGTGGCCCCAACCAAAACGAATGACTGCTTTCACATTGCGCAGCTCTGGTGTATAGTTTTAGACAACTGTGTGAAACACCCCTCGAGTGACACAAGTCTCCCCTGTGGCTGACCAGTGACCAGCACTCCTCGTAACTTGCGGCACCATGTCCGAGCTCGATCTCCGTGGAGAGTTGGTCGACGTCAAGTCTCAGCCGTCCCCAGAGGCGGCTGGCTCTACGCCTGGAAGGATTCTTGTCAAGTACGGAAACGCTGTTACTTGGTCCTTTCCAGCTGTGGCATGCTCTACTTGGTTTGTGAGTGCAGTGCCGTTGAAGACTTTATACTTCTCTCACATTTTTCTTTTCTTTTCTTTTTTTTATCACTAACCTTGTGTAGATGTTCTTATCCAACTTCCACGCCTTTTGGCCAAGAAACTTGGAGTTCTCGTACAACAACCAAGCAGTGACGGCGGTAAATTGGTCCAAAGTTTTACGACTCGCAGCTCGCCCTCAGGGAGGTGTCCTGTTGAAGATGGAGATAGTGTGAGAATTTTCACCGCCATGACTTTAAAAACCTCTAATACTAGTAGTCTCTAAATCGTAACTAATATGACGTAGATCACGGCCCTCTCCTCCGCGAACGGTTTTGAAGCCTCTAGTACCTGGTGATGCAGGAGACGAGCATTCAAAACCATGCAAGAAACCACACGAATATTTACACGTACTCACTCTCCAGCCAGTAGAAGCCTTGAATGAACAATTGGGTTTGGCCGAGAAGTTTCTGACGGGCCAAGCATCGTACGCAGATCAGCGAGCGTACAAAAGCTGCGGGGATGCCACGAGGGAGAGTGTGCATGATTTCCTGGTGAAACAATCGACCCAGGTGGAAGAAAAAGCAAGCGACAATATAAGACTCATGCATGAGGAGAGAATTGACATTTTCAATGCTGCGGATGATATCCTCAGGCTGTTCTTCCCTTTGACGTTTGATGGACCAACGATACACAAGTATTGGGGAGCTGTCAAGTCTCTTCTCAAGGTATGATACCCAGGCCATGGTGTATACAACTAGCCACAATCATCTTGCTAATGACAGCTACATAAATCAGATACCTCAACTGGAGGGAGAGTTTACAGTCTCGTCCGTATCTGCAAGCCAAAGTATTACGACAGAGATTCGGACGGCCTTGAGAGACATGTCTCAAGATGTCGAAAACTTCCAGAATCTAATGTCCTATGCTGATGAGAAGGAAAGGGCCACCATCGACCTCCCCCGGCAGTTCATCACGGCCTGGCTTCACA